CCCCCCCAATAATTGTATATTAGGGATGTGTTTACCCTAATGTACAATTATTTATTCTTAAAAGAGATTCCAACACTATTTAAATTATTTAAATAAGAGTAAAAGTTACCTCTGCGAGCTCCGTGTCCGAGTAGCACACTGCAGTCTTGAATTCAAACGCCAACTCCAAAAGTTCGCTTTCCCGCATTTTACAACAAAAGCATGAAAGTTAGCAGAACTTTCTTCTGTTGCAATGACCTACAACTTAGAGATATAAGTACTGACAACTCACAAAATGATGTTTAGGAGTACAACTGCCTTGGTTTTTCGGAACAACTTAAATTATTGTCCCCAAATGTCACACTTAGTTTTTCAAGTTTTTTCAACTGGAAATAGTTTTTCATCCCAAAAAAACGAAGTTGGATTTATTACAGTGTGGAAAATAATGACCTTTATCACAATATGCTAATTTTTTGAGAAGCACCTGTACATCATTTATAAGAATTTTATAGACTTTGGTGTTTAGTTATGTCTGTGTGTGTCTGTTATTGTGGTCACTTCATCAGTGACCTGTGTTCAGCAGTCTAACAGCTCGTGGGATGAAAGTGTTGCAGAACCTGGTGGTTCTGGTCTTCAGGGTGTGGTACCTCCTGCCAGAGGTCAACAGAGTAAACCGTCCATGTTGTGGATGAGAGTTGTCTCTTTTGATTCTATTGTCTCTGGTCAGACGGTGTCTGAGACCAGTGTCCTGATGGAGGGGAGGGTTAACCTAATGATCTTCTCCTCCATTCTCAGCACCATCCTCAGATCCAGTCTGCAGCTGGGCAGCTTCCCAAACTGAGATGCAGCTGGTCATGATGCTCTCCATGGTTCCTCTGTAGATGTGGTGAGGACATGGGCTCTCTTCAGCCTATGGAGGAAGTGCAGACGCTGCTGGGCTTTCTTCACGATAGACCCAATGTTTCTTGACCAAGACAGCTGATTGGTTATGCGCACCCCCTGGAGCCTGGTGCTCTCCACCACCTCCACCTCTGTGTTGTTTATGAGCAGCTGCGTGTGATGTGGATTCAAGGGCCCAGAGTGGGGCAAATGATGGTGCAGGCAGATGTGGGTGTTTCACGCACCCTTTCCCACCCACATTTTTTTAAATGTTTTTGGCCTGGGGAGTTGAACTGGCAACCTTTCAATCACAGGCCCACCTTCTCTAACCTCTGCGCCACCACTCCCACATGTTTTATTTATTCACATATATGTATGTATCAGCTTGCATGTCAGTGAAGGCCATACATGTGGTCCAACATTCCAGCTGACGGTGGGGTAATGTGGACACCTCTTTTGTTATGTTTTTTGCGTATGCCTCTTACTGAAGACCTGGTTGCAGGAATATGCAACACTTACTGTAAAAAAGTAATTTCACACTCTCTCGCCTACCAAACTAAAAAAAGCATAATTTTGATTCAGTGTCTTGACCTTCTACATATTTTGTCAAGTTGCCGCCACAAACTGCAAATAATTTCTCTGAGATTTTATGTGATAGACAAAAAAAGTGGTGCATAATTTTGAAGAGGAAGACAACACATGACTTTCAAGTCTGATATGCTTTCCCTTCAACAAACACCAGGCCTGTTCTGTCTTATTATTTGTCTAAAAGTGAGAACTTTACCAGTTCAAGTAGGAACTGGGACTGAGGGGACTCTTGATGCTGTGGGACTGTTGCCGTGTCTTCTTGCTAATCCTGGGGCGGTTCAATTTAGGTGAAGTTAGCAAGAAGTTATGTTGTAAAGGGAATAATTAGAAAACAAAACAAATGTTTAAAACAAGAAACATGCAAGGTGAAGTTTTAGTTTGTGGACACGAGGGGGAGACATGACAGAATATTTACTCCCAGCCAGTGATAAAATCATGTCCAAACATCTCAAGCTTTTTAATCTTTACAAGTTTAGGTGAAAATTTCCAGGGTACAACAAATAAATCATACAATAGCTAAACAACGAGATATGACATGTTTGGAGGGGTTCTGTTCTGGCCCTCTCGTTCTTTTAGTGGCGCAGGATGTGAAGAGACATATGACAGAAAAAGCAAAATATTTCAAAAAGTAAAAACACACAAATTGTTAGTCATGGCAGGAATGTCCCGAATAATCTGCACGTTTTGAGATCATTATTAAATCAGTTGCTGAAATAGAACTAAAGGGTTGGAATGAGGTGGAAGAAGAAAAACGTGCGTAAAAAGGATCTTTTTCCAGAACAGATCCGAGACCAGCTCTGGACAGGGTTTACCGTAAGTATTCAAAAATACACGCACAAATATCGTTTGGGGTCTTAAATTCGTTATAAACAATAGTTGTAACACATAAAACAAGATAAAATTCTATTTAACATACACATATAAATGTTGTAAGCCCAATTTTATACTAAAAGTCATCGTCAGTGTTGATTATGGCACGAATGTAAAATGTGCTGCGCCGCTTCACCAAACACCGGAAATGCTAAGAAGCAGCACGAGCACAACGCATGGCGGTGTTTCACGGAGGAAAGAGCTCGTTTGACGCTCACACGAAGTCATAAAAATTTATATATGCTCGCACTGGAAATCTTGAGGTAAACTTAATTGATAATATGTGTGCGTGAATGTTGTCCTGACGTGTTTTATTGTTTTTTTTAGGTTGTAAAAAGTCCTACATTACGGTAATGGTTATGTAGCTAGGCTAACAACAGTTTGGATTGTTAGCATTTCGTTCAACAAACAGCTGAGCCTCCTCCTGTTGCTGTTTTATAGAAATGTCTGCTTCTAAAGTGAAAATGCGAGAAAAGAAGATGAGGAATCAGCCTGCCAGCGTGCAGTATTCATCTGATGTTGGTATGCAGAGCAGCTCACAAAACTTTTACCGAGGAAGAGGTCAGCCTTTCACAGGTATGACTGCGGCTCTGCCACCACTTTATAATGTGTCCACTTTATAATGTGTCCAGTTTATAATGTGTCCACTTTATAATGTGTCCAGTTTATAATGTGTCCACTTTATAATGTGTCCACTTTATAATGTGTCCACTTTATAATGTGTCCAGTTTATAATGTGTCCACTTTATAATGTGTCCACTTTATAATGTGTCCACTTTATAATGTGTCCACTTTATAATGCGTCCACTTTATAATGTGTCCACTTTATAATGTGTCCACTTTATAATGTGTCCACTTTATAATGTGTCCAGTTTATAATGTGTCCACTTTATAATGCGTCCACTTTATAATGCGTCCACTTTATGTGTCCAGTTTACAATGTGTCCAGTTTACAATGCGTCCACTTTACAATGCGTCCACTTTACAATGCGTCCACTTTATAATGCGTCCAGTTTACAATGCGTCCAGTTTACAATGCGTCCA